GTTTCCACAGTAAATATCTATCTGCATTCCCTTCTGATTCCTTTTTTAAAACCTGTTCACGGGACAGTGGGGGAAGGAGCTGCCACAGGACTAGGAAGGCCATGTAAAATAATATGAACATTGCTTTCCCATTTTCCAACTTAAAGCGTCATTATGTATGACCTCGTGTCGCTTTACGCTTCATTATCAATCCTCATCTGAGGCCTGAAGAAAGCTTTATCTGCAGCCCGGGGTGTGAAGAATGGCAGCAAATGGAAAATGAGAAGGGTTGCTTGTCGTTGGTGGGGAATGCTCCCCTCTGAAACCTCCATGGTGCTCCCCAGACTCCGTGAGTAAGCTTAGACAGAGAGCAAAATACTCAGAGGTGCGAATTTTCCCTGTGGTTTGGATAATGGTAACCAGGAGTGACAATCTACGAGCTGGGGATTATCCATCCTGTGGCATCTCCGTCCTCCTCCCAGTGCACCCCTGGTTGGTGTGGGCCCAAAGTGATTCCAGTTGTTGCGGTACTGGTTTCTGCTCGCATTGAAGCGGGGAAAATCAGGGGGGGTATGTCATTTTGGAGGGGCTCACCCGTTCTCTGGGACCGCTGGGTGGGCTCTCCCAGCTAGTGTTGGCCTGGCTGCGGAGCGGCTCTCTGTGCCCTCGCAGCCGTGGTGAGGATGGGGTGAGGATGTGGTGAGGATGTGATGGGAACGTGGTGAGTACCTGGTGGGTACGTGGTGAGTGCCTGGTGGGTACGTGGTGAGTGAGTACCTGGTGGGTACGTGGTGAGTGAGTGCCTGGTGGGTACGTGGTGAGTGAGTACCTGGTGGGTACGTGGTGAGTGAGTGCCTGGTGGGTACGTGGTGAGTACCTGGTGGGTACGTGGTGAGTGAGTACCTGGTGGGTATATGGTGAGTGAGTACCTGGTGGGTATATGGTGAGTGAGTACCTGGTGGGTACGTGGTGAGTACCTGGTGGGTACGTGGTGAGTGAGTACCTGGTGGGTACGTGGTGAGTACCTGGTGGGTACGTGGTGAGTACCTGGTGGGTACGTGGTGAGTGAGTGCCTGGTGGGTACGTGGTGAGTGAGTGCCTGGTGGGTACGTGGTGAGTACCTGGTGGGTACGTGGTGAGTGAGTACCTGGTGGGTACGTGGTGAGTGCCTGGTGGGTACGTGGTGAGTGAGTACCTGGTGGGTATATGGTGAGTGAGTACCTGGTGGGTATATGGTGAGTGAGTACCTGGTGGGTACGTGGTGAGTGAGTGCCTGGTGGGTACGTGGTGAGTACCTGGTGGGTACGTGGTGAGTGAGTACCTGGTGGGTACGTGGTGAGTGCCTGGTGGGTACGTGGTGAGTGAGTACCTGGTGGGTATATGGTGAGTGAGTACCTGGTGGGTATATGGTGAGTGAGTACCTGGTGGGTACGTGGTGAGTACCTGGTGGGTACGTGGTGAGTGAGTACCTGGTGGGTACGTGGTGAGTACCTGGTGGGTACGTGGTGAGTACCTGGTGGGTACGTGGTGAGTGAGTGCCTGGTGGGTACGTGGTGGTGAGTGAGTGCCTGGTGGGTACGTGGTGAGTACCTGGTGGGTACGTGGTGAGTGAGTACCTGGTGGTTATGTGGTGAGTGAGTACCTGGTGGGTACGTGGTGAGTACCTGGTGGGTACGTGGTGAGTGAGTACCTGGTGGGTATGTGGTGAGTGAGTACCTGGTGGGTACGTGGTGAGTGAGTACCTGGTGGGTATGTGGTGAGTGAGTACCTGGTGGGTACGTGGTGAGTGAGTACCTGGTGGGTATGTGGTGAGTGCCTGGTGGGTACGTGGTGAGTGAGTACCTGGTGGGTACGTGGTGAGTGAGTGCCTGGTGGGTACGTGGTGAGTGAGTGCCTGGTGGGTACGTGGTGAGTGAGTGCCTGGTGGGTACGTGGTGAGTACCTGGTGGGTACGTGGTGAGTGAGTGCCTGGTGGGTACGTGGTGAGTGCCTGGTGGGTACGTGGCAGCGAGTGATGCTTTGCCAGGCCGGTGGTGCGCAGGTGTGAGGGTTTCTTTCTCCTTCTTGCCATCTCCCTGGCACGGTTTCCTCTCTGAGCGTGACCGGTACTTGATTCCTGTGAGTTTCCCAAACAAAGAAGAGCAATTATGGTCTCTGATTAAGAAGCCTGGGCAGCATGGCGTGGGCAAATCAAGATAACCATCTATCTGCAACTCTTCCCTGTCTGCCGGCGGGGGCTTAGGCTCAGCCTCTGTTCAGGTTGCAGAAATATTTACTTTTGCTGCGATTGCAGGGCGGGATGGTGAGAGGGGGCGAGGGGCAGGGGGTGGCTGTGGGTCTGCCAGGGGAGATAAGGGCTGAAGCACTGGGAGGGCGAGCTGCGGCGCTGGCCCGTCACCTGCACGTGATGTGCTTTGGCGGAGCGTAGGTTGACAGTGACAACCGAGGTGACCATTCGTCTCCG